GGCAGACAGCTTATGTCATTGTTTGACTGGTATATAATTGGTCTCTCAAGAGACGTACAAATCATGGTCACAAATCTACAGAATTTAGATTTTTGGATAATTCATTATTGAACGAAAACATATTATCTTAAGATCATTATTGTGAGAGCAAACAGTGGCATAAACGGCCTGTCATATTTAAGTCCAACTTAATTAAAGTCGTTCTAAGTCTTTGTGAAACACTCCCCCTGTGCACATACTCATCAGTATTTCAACCAAACCTGGGTCCCGTCTTATAAAGAGTTGCGATTGATCCTCCAATCTCCTATCTCGTATATAGTTGCGCTTGATATCAACCAAGTCCTCTAATCAATCGCAAATTTGCAGTCTCCTATCTTTTATGTGCATAGTTGCGATTGATTTCAATCAAGTCCTCTAATCAATCGCAAATTTGCAGTCTCCTATCTTTTATGTGCATAGTTGCGATTGATTTCAATCAAGTCCTCTAATCAATCGCAAGTTTGCAGTCTCCTATCTTTTATGTGCATATTGGCGATTGATATCAATCGTAATTAAATTAAAGGGACAGTTGAGTTCTTGTTTTAGACCGCAAAGGCCTTAAAAGTGCATGGCTATTGCTCTTATTCTTATATATGACATACATTTTACAGTGCCCTTTGACGACCTAAAATTGCTATGAAGGTTAATTAAGACCCCAAAATGTGTGAAACTTAGATTAAATCCGATTATACTATTCAGCTCTACTTTCAAAACAACACGGTTACCGTAATGAATGAATTAGTATATATATCCTTTTTTCTTCTTCAAATTAAAACATTATTTTGTGTAGAGCCCTCTATACCAAAACTCGACTATCCTTTAAGATTAATCGCAACTGGTCATAAGACGGAACCCTGGGTAAGCCAATTATAATGCAATACAGATGGACAATGACCACTATATTTATCGGCTTGCATATCAAAAGAAAGCTCTTTCTTACCACAGTCAATTACATCGCCACGATTGTCCATCCATACAACCCCTCCTTCGCAGGTCCCACTGCAAGTAGTGCCGCCGCGAGGGGCCATCCGACATACGGAGTACTTGCAGGGATCATCTTCAATACATGTATCTGTGAATAGGTTTCAACAGGCAGCGCATAATGATATAGTTAACAACAACATACATTAAAGTAACAATAATAAAGGTGACAATGTGATGAACATGACGATGATAATGATAATAATGATGTAATAATGATAATAATAATGACAATAAAATAACATTATAATGATAATGAAAAGGATAAGAAGAACAAAATGATAGCAATTATAAAGGTAATACAAAATGATAAAAACAATATACTACTACTACTATTATTAATATTATAATAACGGCAAAATAGTATCAAATATATATCTGTAATTACGTATGCGACGAATTTAAATGAAGGTTTGACGAAATTCGCTGCAAAACTGCGGTAAAATAATGACAGGTAGGCCTACTACTAGATAGGGACTGGTGATATTGGATAATAACTTTTATATTGAACAGTCTTTGAAGAAAAAGGATGCACAGTGATGGATAACAGAGACGAACAAAGTAAGAAAATGATGATTCCTGGCATTTTACCCCAATCTTTTTCTCTGTAATAAGATATCTTATTAGAAAAGGCAGGCCAATATGACGAGGAGAGGAAATAAGTGAGTTCCACGAAAGAAAAAAAATAGGTAAAAATTAATAAATCAATACCAAACCAAGAGTGTCAAGTAAAATTGTCCGGATTTTCAAAAATTAGGAGGAAAAGTGGCCCCGTGTTATTTCTACCAAAGTTTGTTTACCTTTTATTTTTATTTTCTTTAATAATCTCTTATATGTCATTGAAGTACAGCGACTGAAAATCGAAATTGCTCTACAATAATGATTTCCGTTTCATTACACCATCTGAATTCCTAGCTTCTTTTCCTGTTCCAAAAATATTATAAAATTTTTAGAGTCAGATTGGGCAAACGAGTGAAAAGGGAGGCAGGGTAGATGAGACACAACTAATCAATTTTTTAAATTTTAAATATTTAATAGAAGTTCAACTTTACCTCCTGAAACATCTATTGCGCCGGAAGCCAGACCGACGAAGAAGAGGGCGATGAAGATCATTGTCTTCATGATGTCTGGTTGTATAGGGGTTCGCTTGATGAAGAAAACTGCCCCTTGAAATGAGTTTCTAGCTATCGGAGAGCCCCATTTTATAGAACATATGGAAAATTAATTCTTGAAATGACCACAAAAATTAAATTTGAAGGTGATTGGAGATCCAAACAATTTCATTCAATTATTTTCCCAAACCGCACCATGCAGATGAACGGGTATAACCAGTGAGATGTGTTGGCCAGTGGTTGTTTTACTTCGCATGCAATATAATACATAAATATTGTTTGCGAGTGCATGGCGTACATTTATTATCAGTAAATTTTGTTGGGAAATCTTTGTTTTTCTCTCTCTCTCTCACACACAAATTCTCTCCCAAGAACAGTTTTATAGAATAAAGGGTTGTCTTGTGAACCATTTCTTTCTTTATAAGGGTGGGGTCCAGGCGCAGGGCATTTAGGGGGCGGAGCGCTAGCCCCAGAAATTCGTGCATTTTAACATTTTAGAAAAATCGAAATGGCCGTCATGAGCACAAGAATTTATAATCTCCTCCTTGAAAGTCACATAGCCCCTATCAGTTTATATTAGCGATTCTTTTTCTTTCTCGCTTAGACAATTCGACAGAACTGTAATTTTAGTACTGCATGTAGGCGAACTCATCGGGAAAGTTTTTTTTTGTAGTAAATAGAAGTTCCGGTGTTCTCTCTTTTTTTTTTTTTTTTTTTTTCTCTCTCTCTCTCTCCTTTTCCTCTTTCCCTCAATCTACTTCTCTATTGCATCGTTCTCTTTCTGTTCTCCTCTTTCTTCCACCGCTTTCTCTTTTTCCCATTTAATTTTTGAGGCCGCAAAAAAAAAGAAGATCTGCGGCTTATTCGCCGCTCCCAACCGCCACTGATCAAAACTTTTATGCAGGTAATACGCATAGCTTGCGGTGGGATTTGGTTTCCATCCTATCCAATACATTGCCGACCGCAGATTAGAGTAATCAAAATTAAAAGTTATCATCACTTTCCTTCTCTTTCTCTCCTATTCCTCTCTTTTTTTCTCTTTTAACTTATTTTCTCCGTTTTCTTCTCCCTTTTTCTTAGGCCGCCCAAAATGGGGGCCGCGTTCGATTTGGCCCCTACCTAGATCCAATAAGGCTACTACTCCTCCACCACGCCTATCGCTTCAGTTCTTGAGGATAACTGATGACCTTGAAACCGGCTAGCGATAGCTGGATTAATTTCAGGTTTCTGTCCAACTGCCACGATGTCGGCCTCTAGAAGTTCTACCGTCAGGCGCGCCGGAAGCGGTTTCGGATGGGGGGGGGGGGGGGGGAATTCCAGGGGGTTCACCTTCCTGGGGCAGTGGCGTACTAATGGGCAAAAACATTTGGGGGCAGAGGAAAAATCTGCAACAGCACCACACAGACGCGTACGCAGGGGGGGGGGGGGGGGTGAACCCCCTCAATTTTGTTGTATGAGTGTGTTTCGGAGGAAACTCCCCCCCCAAAAAAAAATTGTGCTAAAGGGTGACAAAAAAGGTGACCTTACCCCCCCCCCCCCCCCCCCAACTGAACGGAAAGTCGGTTTAATGAAGGTAAGAATGGCCATCGTCATTACTGTCAAGGACAGGTACCAAGTTCGGGCCAAAGTTCGGGCCAAAAGACAGATAGCCTACCACAGTCAATAAATAATACATGATCAAAAACAAATTTTTAAAAACTATTTTATATATTTTGCCCAATTCGTGACGAAAAATTTAGCGGCGAGTCAGCCGGTGAATAGGCGAGGGGGGGGGGGGGGCGTAAGCACTCAGCCTTTTTTTCTTTTGCCAAGAAGGGGGGGGGGGTGTTTAGACACCTAAAGCAGCCCCTGTTTGCCGAGGGGGGGGGGGGGGGAGGTGTTAGATATACGCCAATGCACGTCACTAATCGGTGGGGAGGGGGGGGGGGGGTCAGGGGGAGCTCAGGGGTTTTAGGCATTTATTTTCGGTCAGATGAACATATTTTGATACCTCTTTTGAGACACTGGTAGGTCACTCATTCTTTTTTTCTCTCTCTTTCTTTTTCTCATTAACATACTTTTTCAAAAAAGTGAAGGTGGGGCCCCGAGCCCCTTTGTTCTGCAGGCCCTGACATGTAGGCCGCTTTAACATATTTGTTTTCGCCTGACTAGCTGTAAATTTCGAAATTTATAATTTTCCAAGCAACATATAAAAATGTATAATTTACAAACAAAATTGTAACCACAACGTTATCTTTCTTTTCTGGTCAAGGGGGGGGGGGGGGTCTGCTGAGTAAAGAAACCCCCCCCCCCCCCACCACTGCTGATGCGCGCCGGATATAAATATTAATGGAATATATAAAAAAACAGTGACAAAAATTCAGTCATACTATTTACTTGATGGAAAGAACATGCAACCACCCAGATTTGTTGTAAAGTTGGTGCGTATTCGTATTAAAAAAATTGTAATCATCATTAGTTGTTTACAGACGCGTAAGTCTGGGCCGACTTATAACGTCACGAACTCACGATCCGAAAGATTGACTCAGCTCAGCTTCGAACCGGGGTCCGCCTGAGCATGACGATTGTAGGCGAGTCCATCTCCTTATCGATATCATCAAGGGCGTTTAATGCATAATTGCCTTTGTCCTGTGCGCTTGAGGATTTTAAAAATCATTTTCTTTGCCCCTTACAAGTTAAGGTTAGTCCTAGATTAATTTAAAAGAGAATATTTGTTTCTCCATATCATTCTCATGATGAAGGTTAGATCAGAATCTAGAATTTTAAAATGTTATTATTTAGATTAATCTGTACGACAACAGTGAAACCTATTTAATAATATTTATAATTTAATCCGCACATATCAAGGCTAGCAATTCAAACACGTTAAATCGTACGATCGGTCAGCCTTTTTTTCCTTCGACCGGCGAGAAATAGATTATAGACTCTAGGCCTACAAAATGAGTTCTTACGTGCCACCCACCGTCGTAATTAATATATTTGCAGTTATTGGTGTTATTGCAGCTTTGAACAAAATTCTGAGGGTATTGTGGTCTATTTTGAAGAATGTGAAGACGTTTATTTTGGCGAGACCGCTTGGCCTAGCGACGGACCCCAAACGGCATGGAAAATGGGCGGGTGAGTACCGGCGGCGCGGGGACCTGGGTCTGGGACACAAATATCGGCATAAAAAGGCAACACTGCACTGTACATCACTCTACAGCATAGACAGAAATAATCGTCTGTTTTGGGTCATTTCTTAATAAAACTGACATTTGTTGACATTCCCCAATACAGACAGTACAACAGAGATCTCGTACCGTGGGGGTAGGCCTAATCGAGGGCACAGCGGAACATCTCTTCGACTTCGTTCCTGACATTTCTCCCCCGATTTTCTTTATTTAGATCTAACTTGTTAGATCTAGTCTAGATCTAGACTTCTAGATCTAATTTTCTAATTTCTAAATCAGATGTAAAATAGGTATAGAGTAGTGTAGGTATAGTTCTAAGTAGTGTTTTCCTACTGTATTGCTTGAAACAAAGTAGACACATTACCACCAAGTCACACCAAGGTCTATGGAACAATACATGCATTCACGCGTGACACAGTGTGAGAGTGTCTACTTTATTTCAAGCAAAACTGTATTTACACTACATATTTTTGATTGAAATCTTATACAAATATGAAATTTTTAAACTTACTTAGTCTATACAAATGTCCCATTTTCGTCTCAGAACTGTGAAACCGTACGTTCATGCACTCGAACATAGGGCTATAGGATCTATGACCCGGCGGCCGATATATTTCCGGGTCAACCTACCAAAACATAGCCAATGGCCAATCAGAGCACTCGTTTCGTGGGTCAAGCCGGGCTGACTTGTACGTAGCTATGGTAGCTATTGGACGTTCGCAAAGAAAAGAATTATTATTCATCAACTAAAACCAAGATGTCTGACAACGACTACAAGACTTTCTCGGATTAGACTCTAGTCTAATCATTAATTTTGGAGCTGAATAAGCAAACTATCGTAAGTCAACGTATATATTTAAGTTTTCGTTATTGTATAGATAACGGAGGCTGTAGAATGGCAGCACAATTAGATTTGATAAAGACGTAAAAAGAGAAAAACCTCAGAGTATTTGGTTCATCTCTGTTCGGTCACTCTACCCTCACGGTCCCCATAGGCCGTACTTCAGTCTCTATAATCGGAGGTCTAGTGTAGCCAGACGTAGTCTCAGTGGAACAACCGACGATTAGAGAGACTGAAGTTTTCGGTCTATCTACAGCACTGCCACTGTAAAGCCTGCTGTATTATTACGATACTTTCAAATGGGTTTAACAATTTAATAAACAATTTAATGAATCAATGATGATAACAAATAAGACACAAAAGAAACTCACAAGTTTTGTACTTGAAAATTTCCTAAGTTGGAGCCTAGAGTCTGCTTAGTCTTCAGTCTTAGATCTAGTACTTTAAGTTTTACTACATGTAGTTTTACCGATAGGGCCAACCTTCTTCAGCCATGTTCTGCCATTTTCTAATTTTATTACGTTCTTTCAAAATGAAGGGAGACCTTAATATACATGGCATTTGTTTATCGTTGCGATCGGTTGTTGACACAACTGCTTAGTTCCCTCCTGATATTGATAAAATCTAAAAGCGTGCATTGCGGAAACTTTATAGTTAAAAGCAGTTGCGCAATATCCGACGGTTGACTATCTATCTATCTAGCATTTTCTTATTTTGCTTTTTTTGTCTTCCATATACAGTTGTGACTGGAGCCACTGATGGAATTGGAAAAGCTTATGCTGAACAGGTAAATTATAGACAGACAGTCTCTCTGGTTTGCTGAGTTTTTAACGTTTGTCTAGTTTTGAGCCTCTTCCAGTCCTATTCTTGACAAGCATTTCACATTCCATTGTTCAGCAGAGCTATAAATTTTGACTCAGACCCCCAACAAATATTCATGTACCTGGGGGGTGTTTCACAAAGATCTTAAGTTGAACTTGTCTCTAAGTTTGACCTAACAATTATGGAAAGCCGTTAGCATCTTTAAAAATACTTTGTAAAAATTATTTTATAAGGCATAAAATGTTGACTCAAATCATTTTATGTTCTTGATGTGGAATTTATAGAATGTCTAAAATACATAGAATTTTTGCTTCGGAACATATTTTTTTTATGGCTACAAAAGGCTCTCCATAAGTCCAACTTTATAGAGTTCAACTTAGGATCCTTGTGATTTGTGAAACACCCCCCCCCCCCCAGATTTGTTCAAAAAGAAAGGACTTAAAGCTCTGCATATATATGATGTCCATTTTGTTGCATGACCACACGAGTTTGAAAAACGATATTGAGCTTTGAAGTGCTTAAATTGGCAACACGTTAGGAGGGTCAACATCTTTATTATTTTATCAAAATTGGCAATTTTCCAACTTTTCAACAAAACATCTACATGTAACCATGAATGGCCTTTTCAGAGACATTTATTATTGAATAGAACAATGTAGCGTTATAAAGCAGGCCTGGTAATTACCCGATTTGAATCTTTTTCATGTTATATATCATATATTAGCTTGCAGCCAAGGGTCTTAATATCTATCTGCTGAGCCGCTCTCCAGACAAACTCAAGGATGTTGCAACACAGATTGGTAAGGCAATGAGAGGTTGATGATGTTGGTGATGATTGTGGTGATGATGATGGTGATGATGGTGGTGGTGATGTTGGCGATGATGGTGGTGGTGGTGGTGCTGGTGGTGATAGTGACTAATGCATACATGCCAACTGTTTAGATTAAAGAGGAACATTCCTCTTTTTGGGAGAAGATAATTATCATTTTAATGCAGGTGTTCCTCTTCCTGTACAAATTTGTCTGTAGTATTGAATAGGAGAGTTAGGATTGTTCCTCTTTTTTTTAAAAATAGCATAATTTGTACAGATTTCTGATTTTCAAATGTTGGCATGTATGCTAATGATGTTGATGATGATGGTGATGATGATGATGTTGATTGTGGTAGTGATGGTGGTGGTGGTGGTGATGATAGTGACTGATGGTGTTGCTGTTGATGGTGGTGAAGATGATGATTATGATAATGGTGAAGATGAATGACGACGATGATGATGATGACGATGATGATGATGATGAATGATGACTATAAAGATGACGATAATGATGGTGACAAATGATGTTGCTGCTGATGGTGGTGAAGATGTTGATGATGATGGTGATGACGATGATGAAAACGATCCTCCCGTTACTGATGCTGCTCAAAATACTCATCACATCCTCATCTCATCTCATCTATCCCTCAGAGCAAAGATACAAGGTGGAGACGAAGACGTTCGCTGTTGATTTCACCGGAGGAGGGGACATCTATCCATCGATCGGAGATCAGCTGACCGGACTGGACATTGGAGTCCTGGTAAACAACGTTGGCATGTCGTACAGTTTCCCCCAGTACTTCTGTGAGCTAGCCGATGCAGAGAAGGTAAAGATTTGGGACTTATTTCACGTTTTATCTTTTTTTCAATAACAAATGACAAAAATCAGCGACAAATCTACTGATAACCAATCAGAAGTAAGGATTTCAGTAGCTTATAACAAAAACTGTCATTTGTCACCGATGACAAGTTTTGTGAAACGCCCCCCCCCCCCCCACCAGGTTTTCGATGACAAGTTTCCAATTAAAATGACAAAAATCAGTAAAAAATCTGTCGATAACCAATCAGAAGCAAGGATTTCAGTAGCTTATAACAAAAACTGCCATTTGTCACTGATGACAAGTTTTATGAAACGCCCCCCCACCGAGTACCCATTTCACAAAGCCTTTTTTCAATGAAATTTATGACAAAATCAGTGACAAATCTGTCCATAACCAATCAGAAGTAAGGATTTCAGTAGCTATAAACTGTCATTTGTCACTGATGACAAGTTTTCAATGACAAATGTCAAAAATCAGTGAAAAATCTGTCGATGACCAATCGGAAGCATGGATTTCGGTAGCTTATAACAAAAACTGTAATTTGTCACTGATGACAAGTTTTGTGAAATGCCCCCCACCAAGGACCCGTTTCACAAAGCCTTTTTTCAATGACAAATCACAAAAATCAGTTAAAAAAAATCTGTTGATAACCAATCACAAGCAAGAATTTCAGTAGCTTGTAACGCAAACTGTCATTTGTCACTGATGACAAGTTTTGTGAAATGCCCATTTGATCTGATTTATTTTTGTTTGATCCTTAAAGAGGTTCATCTGATTGGTAGTTTCACAATAAAAAAGGTTGTGTTACCTGTGAGATTTTTGCCTACTGTTGCTGCAGGCATCATCAGACCGACGTTTTGTCGCCCCTAGATGGGATAGTACGAAATGTTTTTCTATTGGCTTTGATCTAACACTTTAATATCAGAGAATTAATATGTCTTGCCTCTTTCCAAAGTTTCCTTAAAGGGATCCGATAACTTTGTCTCAGATTTTGAAACTAAATCCTGGATTTAGCTCATGCTGCAATGATAATTGTTCACCTTTAGGTCAGTCACGAACCCCATGACTTTTACAAGCCGATCGCCCGTCTGATTATCAAGATATTTATGATTGGAATTGCAAATTTTGAAAACCGTTTGCCAAACATTTTTCATGATAACACTGCAGTCTATTAGGCAAAACGAGTATGGTAAAACCGGTCACTCAAAGATTTTTACTTTTTTGAGGCCCTTCTTGATCACTTTGAAGCGCGATTTTTTTTAGGGCTTCAATATTACACAATATCACAGACACTGATAACAGGTAGGGCCGTGCATCTCAGATTTAACATTGTTAAACGATGCCTTTAAAACATACTTCTTCTCTGTAACTAATTGTGATTTACATATTTTTATGAATCTATAAAAAGTCTTTCATGCTTATATTCGCATTGAGTAATTTTGTAAGTTGAGGTATTTCAAGATAGGACATTACCAGCTCCATATCCTAATGATGTGCTTCTAACTCTGTGTGATGACATTATGATTTTCCAACAATTATACATTTTGCGCTCCGGATGTCTCTATTCCTGCCACTACAATCTAATTTAAGACGCTTAATTTTTAAAATTTATTTTCTCTTCACAGTTTCTGCCAAACATCATCAACATCAACTGCCTATCTGTCGTAATGGTATGATAAAGTTCCTTTGTTTTAATTTTTCCTGTATTGACCTGTATATATAGCAGTTGGGAATTTTCTAAATGTCTTAAAAGAATCAGCTTTTCCTCCTCAAGTTGGCAACAGTTATTTGTATTTCCACTCTTTCATAGTGAAAGAATAATAAAATCTGTCGTAATGGTATGATGAAGTTCCTTTGTTATTTTTTTCTCCAATATCAACCAATAGCCATACAGTTTTTTCTACAGGTATTAAATGAATCGGCTTTTACTCCTCAAATTGGCAACAGTTATTTTTCTTTTCCACTCTTTCATAGTAAAAAATAAAAATTGTATTAAATGATAGAGTGTGAATATGAAAATTACAACAAATTAATAAGAAATTGTAATTTTGTAGACAGAAATAAAAATTTCACATGCGTTGCCGATTTAGAGACTTCAATCATAATTGTTTGGATAACATCTGCTTCTTCTTCTTCTTTTTCTTCTTCATTTCGTTGTTGTTCTACAAACCTGATCAATTTCAATTTAATCTTTAATTGATGATAACCTATTCTTTGAATTTCATATAAATATCTTGTTTTTCTTTCAATTCAGATGACCAACCTTGTTTTACCTGGGATGGTTGAAAGGTAAGAGCAGACAATAAAGAACAAATATGGTGATGATGGTGGTGGTAATTAATAATCATAAAAATAATAATAATGATAGTAATAATGTTTATTTGTTGTTGGAGCCATCCAGTTTTCCGCATCAAATGAGTGTGGCTTATACAATGTTATACAGGGTTGCTTGGATAAGGTACGACGCAAAAATATGCTCATTTGACCAGGAAGTGTTAATGGTAATATAAAGATTTGGTATGGGTCATGAATTTGGTTCAAATGAACATATTGGAAGCTTATGCGATCCTATAATATTCAGTGATCGTTGTCGCAGTTGAAATCTAATCCAAAGTGATGACATTGTAAATAATAAAGTCTTTATTTTGTATAGCTCCCTCTCAAGGTCAAGATATTAATTTAGCTTTAAAACAATGTTCCTTGACTAAAATCGACCAATTTGCTATGAAATTTTCATGGTCGCAGCTACCATTGAATGGCCATATAAGCTATTTGAAATTTATCAAAATTTAGCAGGAACACCGGTAAATTCTTATATTCAATTTTTCTCATAAGCAGAAGTGTTTTAGGAGCTAATTTGTCTAGTGCTTATAATACATCCTCAGGGGCATCCAAATATATCAACATTTTAAAGAATCGCTATCTGGCCATTTTCAAAATTTCCCAAAACTTTGTATTACCTTTAATTACAATCCTCGCAATAGATCTTACGTTACGAGTTGTGAACCAATCACAATTTCTATCTGTAAGAGCTATATCATAAATATTTGTTTAAATTAAATTATATTATTTTTTCAATTTCTCATGCAGGAAGAGGGGTATTATCATCAATGTATCATCGGCATCCGGCATGAACCCGAGCCCCATGCTTACGGTCTACTCTGCTACAAAGGTACTGGGCCGCTATTTAATAAAGCATTTAATTAAAATACAAAAAAAACTCTACCCAAAATTTAATTGACATTCACCTTTTATGTATTATTGTATTGGTTGTTTGTTAGTTAGTTGTTGCTACTGCTAGATAGTAAACAAAACTTTAGGGCTTGCCCTACCTAAGGCGTAAAAAAAAAAGAAAGTTGTATTGCCCTTTGCGACTTTGTGACCCAAAACTTTTGAAATCTACAGTCGGCTTAAAAAAAAAATTAAAAAAAACGTTTTTTTTAGAGAAAAAAAATATGAAAGCATTCAAAACTGAGAAAAATTAGCCCAAAGACTGAGAAAAAAAGAAGAAAAAAATGTTTAACAAAAAGATTTTTGTCCGACCGGCCCATTTTTTGGCACCTAAAGGGCAAAACAACATCTTTTTTTGTAGGCCTAATAACATGGAATGTTTGCAATTTGCATTCTTCTTTTCTCAAGATAGATACACTTGGTGAATTTAAGAGCTTTTTGATATTTTTTCATAACACGGTCTTTGCTAAAGTTTGATCATATAATATATAGCAAGGTAAATCGCTGAGAAAAAGCCACGGTGGTTATTTGTAATTGAATGGTAAATGCGCCAACATAGGACTTTGCGTATTAAAGATATAGACCAGTTTTGGAAACGCCCCCCCCCCCCTTTAAAAAAATGAAATGGAAGATCTTATTACCAATAATGTGAAAGAATACGTTTTGATTAATACTTGAGGATACAAAATTTTGACGGGAAACCGCCTACTAATTGAGATATTTGGTAAATTATTACATCTATCTGGACTGGATAGATATCGTGCATGTGTCACGTAGTCCTTGTAGTGTTTGTAACTGTACCAGGACTGGGCCAAATTTCTTATCATTTTGATGATTCCAGAACCAGAGATGCCAACTGTTCTGTTTTTGCCATATTTGTTCCGTTTTTTCGCTATGAATACGGCAGTACGTTTTTTGTATGTTTTGTTACATGTTTTTTTTTTTTTTTTTTTAGTGACGTTTTTCTTAATATCTGATCATGGGCTTTGTGTCGTAAGTGTATTATGCACCTACATCTTCAATCGATGCACGCAGCATGGTGATTGGGCCCCAAACTCCGCACATTGCGAACAACCCACGTGTAATGTATGCACGTCGCGCTCCTATCCGGGTACGTAAACGTGGTACTGCCGGGGTTTTTAAGCTGCTCGATTGGGCGATATGTTAAGTTGAAAGGTTTTTTCAAAAATACTGTTTTTTGCTCTTAAGAATACTTTTTTTTGTTGAAGAAGGTTGGCATCTCTGTAGAACCCTGCAGTACCCACCAATACTTGTATACTAGATGATTTGTGTCGTAAGTGTATTATGCACTTACATCTTCAATCGATGCATGCAGGATGGTGATTGGGCCCCAAACTGCGCACATTGCGAACAACCCACGTGTAATGTATGGACGTCGTGCTCCTATCCGGGTACGTAAACGTGGTACTGCCGGGGTTTTTAAGCTGCTCGGTTGGGCAATATGTTAAGTTGAGAGATTTTTTCAAAAATACTGTTTTTTGCTCTTAAGAATACTTTTTTTTGTTGAAGAAGGTTGGCATCTCTGTAGAACCCTGCAGTACCCACCAATACTTGTATACTAGATGATTTGTGTCGTAAGTGTATTATGCACTTACATCTTCAATCGATGCATGCAGGATGGTGATTGGGCCCCAAACTGCGCACATTGCGAACAACCCACGTGTAATGTATGGACGTCGTGCTCCTATCCGGGTACGTAAACGTGGTACTGCCGGGGTTTTTAAGCTGCTCGGTTGGGCAATATGTTAAGTTGAGAGATTTTTTCAAAAATACTGTTTTTTGCTCTTAAGAATACTTTTTTTTGTTGAAGAAGGTTGGCATCTCTGCAGAACCCTGCAGTACCCACCAATACTTATACGTTAGATGATCAACCTTTTCTGATCGATTCCACATCGTTTCTTTCACAATGCAATCGCATGACCAGAACTGGTCTTTACCTTTAACTGAGATCTTTGTTATCAGATCAGAAATGTGAAGCATTTTACACTTTACGTCATCATAATTAAACCGTCACTGTTTTGCTGCGTCATATCTGAACAAGCGTTTAAAGGTAAAGACCAGTTTTGGAAACGCCCCAATTTCAAAAAATTAAATGGAAGCTCTTTTTACCAATCATGTGAAAGAATATGTTTTGAATAATACATGATGATAAAAATGTTGACAGGGAAACCGCCTACCAATTGATATATTTTGTAAATTAGTGTATCTCTTGCCTGTTGAGAGATACAAATGCAGGTGTCGCGCATGTGTGTGTAGTCCCATATACATCTTTCTGTGTACAGTAATTCTAGCTTTATGAAGACTTGGCCAAATTTCTTATCATTTTAATGACTCCAGAACCTTGCAATATACACCAATACTTATATGCTAGATGATCAACCTTTTCTGCTCAATTTCACAATGTTTCTTTCACAATGAAATCGCATGACCATAACTGGTCTTTAGCTTTAAAGTGGGACTGCACTACTTATAGCTACTTGCACCCTCTATATAGCCAACAATGCCCAAACGGTACCCGGTGATCCACCATGAACCCCTTTTTCTTATGTTTCAGAGCTGATTTGATGAGACAACCACCTGCCAGTGACCATGCAGGGAGGTCTAATCCCTCCTGGCCAAACTATTGCAGATTATAGGCTTTAAAGGGATAGTTGAGTTCTGTTTTCAGACCACAAATGCCTTCAAAGTGCATGGTTATTGCTCTTATTCTTATCTATGACATTTATAGTGCCCTTTTAGAACCTAAAATTGCTATGAAGGTAATTTTAGACCCCAAAATGTTTGAAATTTAGCCAAGACGATCATACCAATTCAGCTCCAATTTAAAAAAAACACGGTGACCGTTAATTAATTAGTTAATTTAAAATAAACTTCTAATATAAGCAACACGAAAACGCCAACATCGGCATTGGCTGAAATACGACGTAAAAGGCGTTATTTTGTTTTTTCAACGGTTTTTGCAAATTTTTCAAAATTTCTAATATTTGTGGTGTTACACAAGTATTAGAAATTGTTATATTTCAGCCGTCTCTGAACTGATTTTGATCAAACAAAGATGATTTTGTCATTTAAATATTATGTTCTTTGAAATTTGACACTCAGTTTTTCATTATCTCACAAAAAAATATATTTTGTGTAGCGCCCTCTGCAACAGAACTCAACTATCCCTGTAAGGAGGTACTTTATAATGTCATGTGAATAATCAGTATGGTTTCTCTTCTCATCATAGGTCTTTGTGGATTTCTTCTCGCGAGGGTTAGATGTTGAATACCGCTCCAAGGGAATACAAGTACAGGTAAGGAAATGTCTTTTCTTCTTAAAGGTACCATGTCCCGTTTGCAGGCCCCCCAAAATGAAAAGATTAAATTCCACTGGCATTTGAAAGATAATACTAATTTAGAACCTCCCTCAAAACGATAGGGCTTGAAAATACTTTTTGAAAATGGCTTTTAGTGAGAAAATAATGACCATTATACAAGAAGTGGGTTATTGATATGTAGACAAATGCTCATGTACCCCTTTACAGCTCGTTTTATGTACCGTATGTTATTACCAAAGAAAAAAAAAAAGTCGGTCAGTCACTCAATAGTGTCGGACAGTGAAGTCTAGCAAGTAAACAGGTTTCCTTGCATAATTTGAATACTAGGACACTACTAATGTTGAAATTTCACAGATAGGACATACATGACATATTTATAATTCCTGCAAAGTTGTACAGAATTTGATGTTGGCTGCAAAAGGGAGATAGTATCTTTAAAGAGAACGTCGAATTCTGGGAAAGGGGAAAAACATTTTGTGAGCTTTTTCATTATTTATTTTTCTTTTAAAGGTACTATGTCCCTTTTGCAGCCAACCTCAAATGCTGTAGAACTTTGCAGGAATTATGAATATGTCATGTATGTCCTATCTGTGAAATTTAAACGTTAGCAGTGTCCTCATATTCAAATTATGCAAGGAAAACCGTTTACTTGCTAGACTTCACTGTCAGACACTATTGAGTGACTGACTGGCTTTTTTTCTTGCTTTGGTAATAACATATATGAAAAGAGTTGTAAAGGGTACATGAGCATTCGTCTACATCAATAACCCACTTCTTGTGATGGCCAAGATTAAACTGATTGAATCTTTGCGCAGCATAAAACGTATGACCATTCGGTACAATTGTCTGAAAATCAAGACTATTACTTTTGGGCTCTATAGCCCTAAAGTCGATTTGACAACTAATAGTCATTATTTTCCCACTTGAAGACATTTTCAAGCCCCACCTTTTTTAGGGAAGTTCTAAATTAGTATTATCTTTCAAATGCAGTTGGAATTTAACTTTTTCATTTTTTTGGCCTGCAAATGGGACATAGTCCCTTTAAAGGTACCATGTCCTGTTTGCAGGCCCCCAAAGTGAAAAGATTAAATTCCACTGGCATTTGAAAGATAATACTAATTTAGAACCTCCCTCAAAACGATAGGGCTTGAAAATACTTTTTGAAAATGGCTTTTAGTGAGAAAATAATGACCATTATACAAGAAGTGGGTTATTGATATGTAGACAAATGCTCATGTACCCCTTTACAGCTCGTTTTATGTACCGTATGTTATTACCAAAGAAAAAAAAAAAGTCGGTCAGTCACTCAATAGTGTCGGATAGTGAAGTCTAGCAAGTAAACGGGTTTCCTTGCATAATTTGAATACTAGGACACTACTAATGTTGTAATTTCACAGATAGGACATACATGACATATTTATAATTCCTGCAAAGTTCTACAGAATTTGATGTTGGCTGCAAAAGGGAGATAGTATCTTTAAAGAGAACGTCGAGTTCTGGGAAAGGGGAAAAACATTTTGTGAGCTTTTTCATTCTTTATTTTTCTTTTAAACAAAGGAGAAGATACAATAGCCCAGGATAATTCCATTTTACTGGAAAATGCAGGGCATTAAAAGTACATATATAACATCAACAGGACAAAAATTAACTAATTTTACAACATAGTGAAGACTGAGGAGTTATGGATATTCCTAGCTATAGATGGAATAAGAGGAGCTAAATATTGAATTTTCATTTGATATATCAACTTAATAAATACGAAGCATACATAATGAGTATTACAAGAGTTTACAGTTCACAAGTCACAGCTCATAAAGTAATTCAATATCTACCGAAAACTAGTAAATACAAAGCAACCTTAATATAAATGACAACTCACCAGTTACATGGTTCCAAAGTAAATCCAATAAAATCCTAAAATTAACCTTAAGTAAAATGCAGAATGGAGGCAGAAAATGCAGGTTTGCAAAGGCTACATGGCCATGCCATGCCTCCATTTTGAAAAAAAAAAATATGTTATTAACGTGTGGAAGAGTATCATAGAAAAATATCCCCTGCAAAGGATTGCTCTTCAAATGCCCTCATATTCCAAATATATGGCAATTAACAGGTAATAGTTGTGGACCAAACTTTCATATCACACGTTTTTTGTCAATGTAGTCCCATATACAGATGAAAATAAGAATAACTGAGGAGGAAAAAATGATCTTTATTATTATTATTATTATTTTATTTGGCAAATCAAGTCACATAATACAACAATATAACAAACATGAATTGAGATTAAAAAATCTATAGAAAGCATATATAAATATTGCAATAGCAGGTGCATCCAGTCGAGCTGCCCAGGTATGGAAAAAGTTAACCAAATAACTGTGATCCGCAGACCTTCCTCCCCACACCCGACTAGATGCACCTGATATTGGTTAAAATAAAGCTTTAAAAAGAAAAGATAGATGAGAAGAAAATGGAGGAAAAAGGGAGAAAGAAGAAGGAAAAAGAAAACAAACAAAAAAGAAAAGAAAGAGAAAAAAAAAAAAAAAGAGAAAAAAGAAAGTAAAAAAACATTGCATGACAATTTAAAAAAAATCTGTTTAGACCTTTGAAGTAGAGGTGTTGTAGTTGAGTGGTTTAAAAACTTGACCGGAGATGCAAAGGTTGGGGGTTCATTCTCCAGCACAGCACTTGCGTTACTACCAAGCTCGCCGAGCTTAGATGTAAGACCATGACCCCAAATCTATCGATTGTGTTCTTCTCTAGAATAATACATGTTGTTCCATGTTTTCTTATACATAGTCGGTAATGCCGTTCTGAGTCACAACCAAACTCAGCAAGCTCAGACGCGAAACCATATCCCTGAATCTACCATCACTGTTCTTCCCTAGAAATGATACATGTTGTTCAATGTTTTTATTTCACATAGTCTGTAATGCCGTTCTAAGTCACAACCAAACTCAGCAAGCTCAGATGCGAGACCATGACCCTGAATCTACCAACACTGTTCTTTCCTAGAAATAATACATGTTGTTCCATGTTTTCTTATTCATAGTCGGTAATGCCGTTCTACGTAACAACCAAACTCAGCAAGTACAGATGTAAGACAATAACCCTAAATCTACCGATTGTGTTCTTCCTAGAAATAATACATGTTGTTCAATGTGTTCTTTTTCATAGTCTGTAATGCCGTTCTACGTAACAACTAAACTCAGCAAGCTCAGACGCGAGACCATGACCATCCCGAGCCCCACGTCCTACGTGAAGACCGCCCTCGCGACATTGGGGTCAGGAAATCGCACCAATGGCTGCCTAATGCACAACCTTCAGGTGTGTATAAGTCTCTGTTTTTGAGTGGGTATCTTTGCCTCTGATTCTAAATAAAATCCTGGATTTAGCTCATGCTGCAATCATCATTATTAACCTTTAGGTCAGTCAGGAATCCCAGGACTTTTACAAGCCAATCGCCTGTCTGAATATCAAGATATTTATGATTGGAATTAAAAATGTCAAAAACTGTTTGACAAACGGTTTTGAACAGTTTGTTATAATACTAGTCTATTGGGGAAAATGAGTATGGAAAAACCGTTCGCCCAAAGATTTTTACTTTTTTGAAGCACTTCATGATCATTTTGAAGCGCAAATTTTTAGGGCTTCAATATTACACCATATCACAGACACTAATAACACACTAATAACACGTTGGGCCGTGCATCTCAGTTTTACCATTGTTAAACGATGCCTTTAAAGCGAAAGAATTCTCTTTAAAAGATCCTTCTTCCATGATCAAATGCCAATTTCAGTATAGATCGATATAGCCTTTCATTTCATAGATGGTTTTCTCCCTGTTTTTGTGCATCCATTTCCCCACTATGCCCCCTCCTCTTTCCCCAATCTCTCTCCTCCCTCGTCTCAATATCCTCCCTTCCGACTCTCTCTTTTCTTTATCTCACTCTCCCTCCCTCTCTCTCACACTTTCCCACACTCTCCCTCCCTCTCTCACTCCCCCTCAATCTGTTTTCAATCACTCTCCCTCTCTCTCCATCCATCTCCCTCTCATTCTCTCTCCTCCACCCCCTCTCTTTCTCTCTCCCCTCCATCCCCCTCTCTTTCTCTCTCCCCTCCACCCCCCCCTCTATTTAACTCACTCTCCCCTCCCTCACTCCCCCTCTCAATCTGTCCTCCCTCACTCCCCCTCTTTCTCTCGAAATCCCTCTCTCTATTTTCTCTATCTTCTCTATCTCACTCTCCCTCCCTCACTCCTCCCTCTATCCTCAATCTCTTTCTCTCTCTAATCCGCCCTCCACCACTCCCCCTCCGAATCTTTCTTCCTCTGTCACTCACCCTCTCTTTTTCTCAAACTCCCTCTCTATCTCACTATCCCTCCCTCACTTTCCATCCATGCTCCTCTCTTTCGATCCCTCCTCTCAATCTTTCTTCCTCAAGCACTCCCCCTCTCTTTAACTCACTCTTTATTTTCTCTCTCTATCTCCCTCTCTCTCTTTATCCTCCCCCTCTTTCCCCTCAACCCCCCTCTCTTTCTCTCTCCCCTCAACCCCCCTCTCAATTTTTCTTCCTCAATCACACACTCTCTACTTTCTCTATCTCACTCCTCCCTCCATCCCCCATCTATCCCCCTCCCTCACTCCCCCCTCTCAACCTTTCCTCCTCCTTCACCCTCCCTCTCTGTTTCTCTCTCACCCTACAGGGTTGGGTTGTTGGATCTGTGCCAGACTGGCTATTGGACAGCGTTCAGATGTCCATCCACAGCGCCATCCGGAAGGTCAGCCTCAAGAAACTAGCAGAGAAGAAAACCAAATGATCGCTACCAAACTTAAAGAGAAGGTTGAGTTCTGGGAAGAGGTGAAACATAATTTGTGCGTTATCATTGTTATTAAGAAAGTGTGAAAGAACAACGGATGAAAAATGTTCTAAGTACGGCATGTAACAGCATAAAAATTGGGATAGATTTTTATGCCACATGTTCATGTAGTCCCATATACATCTTTCTGTGTACAGTGCTTGTAACTTTACAGAGACTGGACCATATTTCTTATCATTTTTGATGATTCCAGAACCTTGCAATACACACCAATACTGATATGCTAGATGATCGACCTTTTCTTATCGATTCCACACTATTTCTTTCACGATGCAATCGCATGACCAGAACTCAATGTTATCTTTAACTCCTTTCAACAAAACAATCATTTCTCTTAAATGACAATGGTACGATAATATGATAACATTTTTCATAATAATGGGCAATGCAGAGGGTCGAAAAATGTTGTGCCAAATTAGAGAAAAACTAGTGATTTTTAATACTATATTTCTTAACAATTTGTTTAAAAAAATTACAACCAAAAAAATTACCAAATCAATGTTTCTCTCATATTCTAACTTGTTCATAATAATGGACTGTGCACAGGCTAAAAAAAAAATCTAATCAATGAAATTATTAGTGATTGTACTATTGTATAAATATAATTAAACTCTTCCAATAAAACAATGTTATTTTCCAAGTGAATAAGGTACTATTCTAACATTTTCTTTAACAATGAACTTTAAGAAATAAATAGTGACAATGCTATCATTCTGTCAGTGAATAGATCCTAGGAGTTTCTAGGAAATATGAAATCATGAAATTAAATAGTTGAAGTTATGTTAAATTAAATCTGTTGATCGTAAGGCGATTCAATTTTGTTGAATAAACGGTTAACTCTGTATAACTAGGAGTTGCACAAAGCAAATTTTCATTGAGTCAAATAATACTTTGGGAGACGCAACTATGCATAATGTGTTGATTTTCGGCTAATGAAGTCGGAACTATTTTTGCGGTCCCAACAGATTCAACTCATGCAGACTTTACATACGTGGTTTAGTTTTGTTTTGACTAATCATAATTTGCTTTAGACATTGTTAAAGAACTGACTTTATCTAATATTATTTAATTTAATTTCTAATTTGTCTGATTTCTGTACATCTTGTAACTCATGCCGTTTTGTGATTTGGGAATAAAATTTTCAAAAATGTAGTGCCGTTTGTTTGTGTGTCATTATTGTAATGTTATACAATTTTGATTTCTTTAAGGGGCGCGGTATACAAATATACAATGATACTCGAGGATCTAGCTAAAAGCAAATGGATATATTGAAGTTTACATGGTGGAGGTATTGGATGAATGAAAAATAATGACAGGAGCGATGAGCAATTAAAGTGAACCAATCACCAAAATATGTATTTTGTTGCAAGGGGTTCCATGTCGCTATACTGTATTCAAAATATGAGCTTGGAATATTTCTTCTACAAAAAGAAATTGCAGTTTGAATACGCTCGCATTCGTAATAGCAGTTATTGTTCATGCCCATTGTACTATGCCGAGGGCTTCCCACGTGCTATTGATCGCACCATCAGATTATCTCAAAATAAACTTGGCACTGAGGGGATTTGTGGCTTGGCACAATGGGGATTAGCCCTGTGGCTCTGGGATGTATTCATTATGGCAGGATAAGAGTTAAACACGACCTGATGAGCAGACTGGTTAGCGCACATGTACAGATTCGCACAGAATAGGGAGCACACGGAATCCAAGTCGGACTTTGATTGGGACTAGCCTGTTTTAGCCTTTGGCAGAGGACAGGGTCTTCTTGTAATACTGTGCTTGGGTATTTTTTTAAAAAGAAATGAATGTTTTTGTTAGGTTTTTTTACTGAATGATCAAAAATTGCTGGGAAAAAAAAATTGAATTTGATACCTTTAGTGAGCTGTAACTTGAATTTAAACATTTTTTTCCTTCGTATTTTACAAATTAAAACTGCAGTCATACTTGTCTATTAAGGCCATCCAAGGTAAACAGAGAAAGTGGCCGCTATAGACGAGTGGCCTTTAAAGAGAGCGTAGCCACTAAGACAAGTCCGACTGTAGTTTAAAAGATTAAAAACTGAAATGTAAAAAAATGAAAATTGTATTATTGAGAAAAAAAAAAATCAGTATCATTTTTTAATTGTGTGATTGAAAATTGCGTAGTGACTTGAATTAAAAAGAGATAATTCAAGTACTTGAGGTATTTCAAAAAGTTTGAATAATAGAAATAAATAAATCACTGTTTATTATTTCCTTATTAATAAAACATAATTCACACCTCTTGTAAATTGATGTGTTTTTCATAATTCAAAATTGAAGGTAGACTGGTTGAGTGAAGGGCCATTGTTGAATACTTCTAGACGTAAGCCCTAATTTTTTCACGTACTTAAACATTTGCAAATCTTGGTAAGGTATGAATAATTTAGTCGTTATTCGTTAATTATATTTAATGCGATAAATTTCACCTGTAATTAAGTCCCTGTTCACTCTCCAAGTACTGTGAATTTAATAGAAAGGAAAACAAGCATGGAAGTGCACATGTTATTGAAAGCTCTCTATTAAATACCATGATAATTTTGAGCAATTGCCTATTTTTGCCCCAATATAATTCCCATTTCTGAAGCAAAATGCATGAAGAGCTCCTGTTTATTAAAGTAATAATTAATTATTTAATACACCTGTTAAAGATATTATGTCCAAATGGACGACCTAAAATAGATAACCTTACCACCCCCCCCAACGAAACGTAATGTCGAACGGTCAAATTTGCAAATTTTTGGAAAAAAAAAAAAAAAATGTCCTCTTACCCTCACCCCTCACCCCGCTTATTCAGCGGATATTACTAGCAAAAATAGATATTACCAGCGATGACCTGATGACCAAGTCATCCTTCGGGGTATTACATACAAGCAATAATCCACAGACTCTAGCCCGGTCTTTGTATATACACATAAATTGTTGGGTTAAAGAGTCCAGTAAATACCACCTCTTCTTGTTTCTGAGTAGGTGAAACGAAGTACTCCGGTGTACGCAGTAAGCCGGTGCTGCGGTGCCTGAACTGCCAAGACTGTCCAACCTGACCGGTAAACGACCGCAACGGCGTTGACTTCCGGACTTGATACGAGTACTTTGCCTGAGTGAGCGTGTCGACTAAGAGCACATGTCCATTGATGTGTGCATAGGGTTATGGCTACGAGCCCAGCTCGTCCCTAAAAGAATTAAATCAAAACAAAAAAGTCAACCATCTACCAAAATAAACATGATAGCTATAACGATATAAATCCTAACAATTTACAACAATCAATTACAATCTGTAGAGATTGGCTTCACTGACATAAACCAATTAAATAGGCAACATTTATAAACGACTGAGTACGGTATCTTTCACCTGGAAAATATAAACTCACACATATGTCTTTACATGTAGTTATATATATAACTTTTCAGTACAATGCAATTGTAAGCAAACGAACTAATCAAGGTTAAAGACAAACTTGAGTTCTGGTAAAAAAAGACAATGAATTCTCACAGAATCTAACGAAACTTACACTGAATGTTCAAGATTACAAATAAATGTCAAGTGCCAAACAAATTTGGAAGAAAATGTATACTGGCTGAGTAATGAGCATAGAAAGACAAGGAAATCAGGGTAGTACTAGCCCCGACACCATACATCTTTATGTGTAAGTGATTGTTACTTTACCAAGACTCTGCCAAATTTATGATGATTTTGATGACTCCAGAACCTTGCATTACACACCATTACTTACATGCTTTCTGATCCATTCCACACCTTTTCTTTCACAACGCAATCGCATTACCAGAACTCAAGTTTATCTTCAACTCTTCCTTATTCAAGATAAAACAAAAATCCATTTTCCCATAGGTCTAGTACAAAGAAAATGGCTTTTTCTTATGAAATATATGAAATAATCTTCCTTCCAGATAATTACAAATAAGGCAACGCATTTATTTCTGTAACTTACAGTTCAGATGTCCGAACAATGAGTAAAGATGAGGCGAGGGCTGATGAGGTTTCTACCATGTACGGCCTGTACGTGCTGCCTTGCCTGGTCCCATACTATAAGGAAAGTCTGCTATGCCAGCAGCCGCATGCATGTAGCCTGTGGCTGTAACATTCACCGTCGCGGCCAACACCCCTCATTCACTCCAAGATCAGACCAAGTTTAAGAAAGGTCTGATCCTCTCGAGATAAACTGCCCTAAATTTCCAACCCACTTTGGCTCTCTAAATAGTAACCTCCTTAACATTCTTCATATTCCTCTAATGCCAAAACTGTCCGTCAAAATTTCTTTTACTTAATCCTCTATACAAAACTTTCCTATTAACATTCTCCTCATCCTTTCCACACACACAGACAAAGACAGACACCTGCTCTACTAGAGAACCCCAGTTAGTTGACCTAGGCCTAGTTACTGCCTAAATTGCCGCCAAACAACATCCATTCAGCTAGCCCCTGTCTATGATTCTCTGCCTATACAACTCGACAGGGTCAGGAGAGTTTAGAATGAAAGAAATTCCAATCACATTGTGACACTCCTGTTTATTAAAGTAATAATTAATTATTTAATACACCTGTTAAAGATACTATGTCCCTTTTGCAGCCAACATCAATTCTGCTGAACTTTGCAGGAATTATGAATATGTCATGTATGTCCTATCTGTGAAATTTAAACGTTAGCAGTGTCCTAATATTCAAATTATGCAAGGAAACCCGTTTACTTGCTAGACTTCACTGTCGGACACTATTGAGTGAGTGACTGACTTTTTTTCTTCTTTGGTAATAAACATACATAAGATGAGCTGAAAAGGGTACATGAGCATTTGTCTACATCAATAACCCACTTCTTGTAATGGACAAAATTAAACTGATTGAATCTTTGCGCAGCACAAAACGTACAACCATTCAGTACTTACTGTCTTGGTAGCACTTCGATTTGACAACTAATAATCTTTTTTTTTAGGTAAGTTCTCAATTAATATTTTCTTTCAAATGCTTTTGGAATTTAACCTTTCCATATTTTTGGCCTGCAAATGGGACATAGTACCTTTACTTCTCTGTGATGTTGTGACGAGCACAAAAAGGACACGTGTTGACTCAATCTATAAAAAGTATAAAAAGTATAAAAAGCTTTATTGCATTAATTTATTGCCAAGTAGTTTTGCCAGGTTGCCATTTAACGTCCTGCCCAAGGACATAAGTGCCGCCAAAGCACAAAAAAATGAGAGGGGGGGGGGGGGGGGGGGGGGGGGGGAGAGGAGCACTTTTACATGACTCTGGAATTGCTTCATCAGTCTGTCATATCATCAAAGTTTTTGTCAGTTAGCTAGGATTAAATCATCCGCTTCGTCTATGAAATCTGCCAAATCTTCACGCTGCGATCGCCTCAGTGCCTTCTTAAATTTTTCCTTTGTAGCCTTGACACCATTGGTTTTTCGCCATTGTAGTAACATCTGGAAGATACATTCCTGCAGTAGAGAAACAACAAAAAAATGAACATTTTAAAAATAGACTTTTGTCTATGTACAATGTCAGCAGATAGGCCTTTGACTGCGCGCAGTCGAAAATGATGCCTCCGCCATAAAGCAATTTTTAATATTCAAGTTTGATTGTAATCCAACTGTCGGTTTTAATGATAATGCACTCACAAGCTATTTATAGGCATACATAATGAGCCCCATGACCTTATGACCCTAAAATCTAATCAGTTCATTGGCTCTGCAAGATACATATACATGTCTGAGTTTGATAGTAATCTGTCTATTGGTTCTTATGATAAAGCGATCACAAGCTATATGTGCATACATGTACATAATGAGCCCTCTGGCCTTTGACCTAGTGACTCCAAAATCTAATCAGTTCATTGGCTCTGCAAGATACATACATGATCTGAGTTTGGTAAGAATCCATCAACCGGTTCTTGAGATAATGCGATCACAAGCTATTTTTGCATACATAATGAGCCCTGTGACCTTTGACCTTCAACCTTGTGAGCCCAAAATCTAATCAGTTCATTGGCTCTGTAAAATACATACCGTACATGAACCAAGTTTGGCAGGAATCTATTGACCGTTACTTGAGATAACGCGATCACATATTGCTCCGATTGTCTCATTTTCGCTCGCGTGAACATTGCCAGCACAAACCACTGACCTCTACCTCCTGAACGGATCATCGCCCATTCCCATTCACTATACGTTACGTACTAAAAGGCTGTATTGTCTGACCGTTCATGAATATTCATGTTTTTGCTAAACTCGGCAAAATGTTTGCTTTTACTAAATGGAAAAATTACGGTGGGGGGGTTGGATGAAATGGACATAATGAAATAGGCAGAAGTGATCTATGATAATTCATGCGTTTTATGTTTCGTGTGCTCGACCTATAATCTTCAAATCGCTTGGTAAACTGAGTCCAAAGTTAGACTTGTTTCACATGTGTATTATAGGCAATGACGAGCTTGCAACCTATTTTGAAAAATTACGGTGGGTGAACTTTCAAAAGTCAATGAGACATGAGCAGGGCTCAAATTAATTTTTTGCCCACGGGGGCTCTTCCAAAAAAAAAAGAGCCCCCGTGAGCCTTCTCACGGGGGCGCTTTTAGTGCTGACGGGGGCTCTTATTTTAATACAAATTTCCATTGAATTGGTACCCATGAAACTCCTTGGTATTTTATCATTACCATTTATTTATGTCGGTATTTTTCCTCTTAGAAATTTACTTGTTACATAGCTGTTATTGACTTTTATCCCCATGAGGACATTTTCTCCATTTCTTCCCGTTCTGCACATAATTTCCTCCTCATTATTCGGAGCAACCTTATTTACATTCTTTCTTTACTTTTAGTCTTTACTATATCCTTCCAAAACATAGGGGCGGATCAAGCTTTTTGCTAAGGTGGTGGGGTACCCCAAATACGATGTAGAGCATCGTCAACGAGCCGCGTAGCGGCGATGCGATTTTTGTTGTTGCTATTTTGAACCCCCGTTAGTGATGTTTTCCTGGCATCTACTGACATCTACTAATACTGTGTAAGTCTGGACACATGATAGCATTTTTATGTGCGCATCACATTTTTCCTTGGCAGCCCAAGGGGGAGGGGGGGGGGGGATTAAACCTCCTAAACCGCCTAGATCCGCCCCTGCAACATCTTATGCCTTTTTCTTCTTCTCAATATTGATTTACTGGTCGGGTTACATTATTTGCTGGTCTTTAAGAATCACCAGATTTCAGAGGATTCAAACTTTCACAACGAAAAACTTCTCCATGTTTCAGTCCTTGGGCGATTGTCGATCTTCAGCTCCAGCAGATACTGGGCGTCAGCGTGCACACCGGTACTACCAGCGCAGTATAGCCACTGTGCTGACGGCCGCACCGCGAGCTTCCGTTGTTTGTATCGGAAATACTCGTAGAGATGGTAGAGAAAGCGCCATCTAAGTTCCATTTCATTGGTTTAAGGTTTGAAAATTAATACTCAATATTGTGTTAAAGTTATATCAGAAAAGATAATCTTAATTTTATAATTCCACGGGGGCGATTTTTAATTTTGCAATCGCCCCCGTGAGCAACCTGACGGGGGCGATTATGGAGCTCACGGGGGCGAATCGCCCACCGCCCCCGTGTATTTTGAGCGCTGGACATGAGGGCTCAAATGAAAGAGCTAGTGATAACGTACGTCGGGGTGGATGTGCTTTTCGTTTAAACAAAAAATGAATTTTTAACGATTTTTTTAAAAAACGTCCATAGGCTAACATGTTAGGCTGCTGACGCTGACCATGCTCTGACGGTAGGGGGCGTCGTGAAATGAGACTAAACGGAGCTATATGTGAGCTATTTTTGCATACATTATGAGGCCTGTGACCTTTGACCTTCAACCTTGTAAACCCAAAATCTAATCAGTTCATTGGCTCTGTAAGATACATACATGATCCAAGTTTGGAGGGAATACATCAATTGGTTCTTGAGATAATGCGATCACGAGAACGGGACGTATGTACAGACGGATGTACGGACGGACGGACAACCAGAAAACATATTATGCCTCCGCATACTTTGTAGCGGAGGCATAAAAAGCCTTCCAGGGGTTGTTCTTTGCTACAAGTACATGAAACTGTAAAATCATACTCCAGAAACCAGAAAATGAGAAATGGGTATGTTCGAGATTCTCCCTTGCAAATACAAATGCCCTTTGAAAATACTTTCAAGAATATTAATTTGCAGTTTTCTATGTTCAGTGCATATTTTCATATATTTTGTATCCCTTCCATTTTTTATTGATTACAAACTCAACTAGAATAACAGTAGAAATAAAGATAGAATGAGGAAAAAAAAACAGAATAAAAAGATAAATAAAGAAAATAGAAATGAAATGCAGCACATTACAGGGATACATAAAGCCAATTCAACTGAAAGGTATTACATGTCAAAACTCCATTTACGAAAATGTATAATTTTACTATAATATTCTTTTTTGTCACTTGGCATTTGATTTTTTTGTTAAGCTCAAAAGCCTCAAAAATCGGGGGTTTTACTCTGAAATTTACAATGTAAATAGAGTAATGTGTATTTCAATGTAAGATATTATAAATGTATTGTCTTGATAACCAAACGTTTTACAACAAGTAGAGGTACCTTTTTTTGTTTTGTTCTTTGAGAGTTAATATGAAAGTACACATGAAAGTTAACAATACAGTCAAAATATTTTCAGTAACCTACTCCAAAACTTCATGAAAAAGTTGAAGTACCTTAACGACTCGATATTCTTCCTGCATAACCTCAATCTGAGAGTTGCCAAAGCCTAAATAAGTTCCAACCGTCCTCCACTCGCCACCAAGCTTGATGGAAACGTCCCTTAGCTTGATCTCCGTAATCTCATCGCTGGTTTGCTGGGGTATTCGCATGGGTACTGTGTCTGGTTGTTGAGGGGGATTGGCGACGGCTCGTATCTTGGGGCGGGAGGGGCAGGGTGCTGATGATGGTTCACTGGCTCCAGGCGTATTGGTCTCATGCCCTGCAGGAGTTTGGGAACATTGGGTTCGTTTTCTTGGGCGGGAGAGGTATGGTGCTGATGATGGTTGAAAGGGCTCCGGCAGGGATATAGGTCTTATGTCCTGCATCAGTGTTGGGGCCCCACCTTCGACTGCAACGAGAAGGGAATCAAGATCACTGGCCGGTATATTCATGAGTGTATTATTCCAGCTCTAAATGGATATGTTTAATTTAAAGATGAAGTTGAGTTCTGGTCATGCGATTGCATGGTGAAGGAAACGGTGTGGAATCGACCAGAAAAGGTTGATCATCTAGCATATAAGAATTTGTGTGTATTGCAAGGTTCTGGAATCATCAAAATGATAAGAAATTTGGCCAAGTCTTGGTAAAGTTCTAACACTGTACACAGAAAGATGTATATGGGACTACATGAACACGTGGCGTAAAAATCCTACCCTGGAGTTTTACGATGTTACATGACATATTTAGAATATGAAGGCATTTGAAGAGCCATGCTTTTCAGGGAACATGTCTTATCTGATGTTCTTCCTCACTTGCATAATATAAGAATGATAACGCTCACAAATTATTTTTCACCTCTTCCCAGAACTCAACCTTCTCTTTAAAGGGCCACTCTGACCAAAACGGGCTAGAAAATGAAGAAGAAAAAAGCCATGTAGAATAATTTTTGACAAAGATTTAGAACATGACAATGATTTTTCTTAGAAATCATCAATAATTCTGGAATCTAGCTTTCAGGGGTTTTTCAATTTGAAAGTCTGGTTTCTTTGATTGTTAATTAACCCCTATCCTGAGTATTTACAAGCAAAAGATTTTAGTTATCAGAATCGGGTCATATCCCCTTTTGAATGGTTTGACATGCCTATACATTTATATACACTAAACTCATTATAATTTGAGAAATAATAGCTTTGCAATTATGTTCATTCTCTATGGGATGTCGTCTGCTTGGGCAGTGTTGGTCCATATTAGTGACGTCATTAAAACATCATTATTTTTCTGGCGAATCTCTCGTACATCCCAGCAGCTATGGAGGTGGTTGTATTGGTATTTTATAAATCACCCGATATGTAGTTGACCTAAAACTTGTACGATGGCCATCTGTTAGCTTACCGGTTTCTAGTGATACTTTAGTTGACATATTTGATCTTCTTTGAATTTCACCTTTAAGTCTGACCACAACGTTGAAGGCACGTAGCCACAGGGGAGGGGGGGGGGGGGGGGGCACGTGGGCGCAATTTTTTTCCAAGATCGGTTGAACTTTTTCAACGTGCCTGCAACGTGCCTGCAACGCTGCAGGCATGTTTTGATATGCTCTGATAAGGGACCTTTGGTCCTATTAGATCCACAAGGATTTTGACGCCCTCTATCAGCTGAGTCGCTTTACACTGATCAATGCTTTCCACAGTTTGCACTTCTCATTTAATGAATGAATCAAATAGTGACAGGAGAGCCTTTTGCCCATGCGCAGTTAAATACTACGTCAGTGGTGCCCCGGATGTAAATATAAGTTTACGTCCGGTTCATGTACGCTAATCTGTAAAAAAATGCTATTGAAATCAGTGATTTTTTTGATTTCTTACAATTTTTGGTTGGTGTGTAGCATATACTCATCGTTTAAGCAAGGGAAGTCACCACAAGAGCTTACAAAATAGTTTCAAAATTGTTTTGTTCTCCTATTCCCGTTGATTTTTGTGTGAAACCAACGACATTGTGATGATCACAAATCTTTCGTTTGCCAAATACAACTGTTCGTTTATTGTTGTGTTTGCATGCGTTTTTTTATAGGCATTGGAAGAATTGCTTTTTTTTTCTTTGGTGCTCAGAAAATCTGTGGTAATTATGCGTGATTTCTTTGCATCATGACCACTATTGCCGTGCCTTTGTCTGCTCAAACTAGCACATGTACATGTAGTCCCGTAGACATTGGCGGGTGCATGTTCTTTTCAATTTATAGTTTGGTCTTGTTAATCCGAGAGACTGCTATTTTTTCTTCCCTCAGATTTTAACTTGATGTACTAGATATGTGTACAGGGTTATTTGAGAATCTAGGAATCAGGATAAACTAGATAGAAATTGTATTCCATTCCAGGTTCACAAAATATCGTCACCGTGATTACAAGATATTTTTCACATGTATGACCCTTTTATCTTTTACCTCATGACCCTAAAATCTAATCATCTAATCCAAAAGTAATTCAACCCTAACAAAATTCAAATATTCATGTAAACAGTTATTGTTTAAACGCATGATGTGCACTGAGTAGATTTTTCTGTACAATGTTCTGCCTGCGGTGTGTGTTGGTGTGTCCGTGTGCATGTTATTTTAATTTGCTTGTTTGTTTATTTTTGTACAGGGCCCCATTCTCACAAGCTTTGCTTATCTTGGGGTCTTTCCGATTTTGCTGTTCATTTGTTATGTACTGTTTACTTTGAATTTTAATGGAAATTAAATTAATGAATTGAATTGAATTAAGACTACCGGTAGGTTCTAAACGATTTGAAGGAGCAGCGAACAACCCAAAGCCGTGAGCCTGCTGTTGCGATTATGCAAGATTGCGCAATCGATCGCATCCAGCTGTCAGATTGTGGTGGGACAACACGCTGGGTTTTTGCATCAGCGCGAAATTCAAACCTACAATGTACAGTGTAGCAGTGGAAATCATAGGATCAAAGGGACTGCTTTGTCGAAAGTCCATTCTTAGTAGGTCCATGGTTTAATCCACTGATTCATGGTTCCCCAAATGTCAAACTCCTTTCCCCATTATTTTTCCCCAATGATTCTGAACTAGTTCAAATAAAGTTTGTTTCAACTCTCAGTCGCACAACTGGGACCTAACTTTGGACTCTCTGAACCTAAACTGCTGTGGAATAACCTTTCACAATCTATCAGAAGTGCCAAGATTTAGTGCCAACACTCCTAGCTATACGCTATACATTATCTCAAAAATAATACTAATGCCACCAAAATCTAATTGAAAATAATCTTAATTTGAAATGATGACCAACAGTGTGGGCGTGTACCACCGTTACAACGTCCTCTAACAATCAGGAGATATAAGTCACTTTTATTTTGCAATACATTCAAGTAAAGAAGACCAGTTAGCGATTTTCGAGTGTGCATGTACATGTATGCGCTCGCGCATGTATGTGCTTGTGTGCCTATGAGTAAAATTGTACGTATTTAAGAATTAGTAAGAGTCTTGTAGTTTTTTACTTCATTTAAATTTAAATTTGTAATTTATTTAATTTATGTGCCTATTTGCTTTGTTATTGTTTAAGGATAAGTATTTATCCTTTCTTTTTAAATCCCTTGATCCATTTACCTTGATGATCATTTTTTACACTATTATTTCATGTTATGTATAAAAAAAAAAAAAAAACTAGACATAATACTTGTTTGGAACAAGTATAGGTGGGCTGGTCAACTAAAATTTGAGACAAAATAGAGCAAAAATAAGCGAGATACTGCTAAAAAAACAATGTCATTGATGTAATGATGTAAACGAAATTCACCTTCCATAGGCATAACACGCAACGTAAGAAATTTCTGATATGTGCCCTTTTTTGTAATTTTCACTCTGATGACGTGATCAAAATTAAAAAATGGTGTTGACTGAGCTTGTAGAAAATTGTCTCAGCTACATCATATCGAAATTTTGAAGAAAATCGATTCATATTTACAGAGATACAATCAATGTTACATACATATGCTGACGTCATATGCAAATTCGTATTTTGAGTTCCAAGGCGATTATGATGATGTCACGATACACTTAATGGCCAAATGAGACATGGAATCATATTTCCGACTCATACTCTATTTAAAAATGAAAAAACATTGAAGGTCACGGTTCATTCCAAAGAGCTATAATGGATTTTGTATAGGCATGTTTTTGCCCATATATGCTATGTAATAAAAGAGCTCGCGCGCACGGACATTTATCTTGAATTGACGCTCATCATCTTATTAATGGTCATAAAGAGATAAACAGGGTATCAAATTCCTCGAAAAAATATGAGAAATATCATGAAAGAAAAAAAATGGCGATTCTATGTTGTGTAATGGTGTTACGCGCGAAAACGCGCGCGCATGCTCGTGTGCGCGATTTTTTATAAAATGCTTAAAATGACCTGAAACGTATGCAAAATAAATTTGAGACGATTTTGAGCATTTAAAATTTTTGCGCGCGCACTGACGCGCGGACGTACGCGCACGCGCGTATTTTTTGACCGGAAATTGACCGGACTGATATTGACCTTGATCATGATAAATATGAATGAGAAATGAATTTTGGTTATGAAGATATGATCATGAGTTGATTTTCAGAAAATTTCACAAAATGGCGCCTAGATGACGTCATCAGTCAAGGTCAAGGTTGAAAACCTTACCGTGTTTTGTCCATATGCCTATACATATGTGTGCCAAATATCAAAGCATTTGATTGAACCATTTCAAAGTTATCTTGCTAACAAAAAAGTGGGTCAAAATAAGAAAAATAAACTAGATTTGTAATACTTGTTTGGAACAAGTATAGGTGGGCTGATCCAACAAAAAATTGAGACAAAATAAAGGGTACATTTGAAATAGCTTTTTGTCTCAGCTACAACATATTCGGAGTTCAGCGTAAATGAAGCTAAAACGACGTAGATATTGCTCGCGAAAGACGGGAATGTAGAATCAAGTTTTGAGAAAAAGTCATGTCCCATAGAGAATACACGCAAAATGTGAAAAAATTAGCTTGCCTCCTTTAATCGCAAAAATACGCCATGATGCCTTTGTCAAAATGAAAAATTGTGACAACTGGATTTGTAGAGAATTGTCTCAGCTAGAACATATCAAAATTTTAAAGAAAATTAATCAATTTTTAGAGAGATACAATCAATTTTCCAAAAAAATGCTGACGTCATAATAGGCAAATTGAAATTTTGAGTTCGGAGGCCATTATGATGACGTCATGAGTTAATTGAGGGTCAAATGAGACATGAAATCATATCTCTGATTCATACTCGCTCAAAATATGAAAAAAAAATTGGGGTCACCTTGCATCCTAAAGAGCTACAATGGATTTTGCATAGGCATGTTTTTGCCCATATATGCTATGTATTACAAGAGCTCGCGCGCACTGAAATTTATGTTAAACGGTCGATTATTCAATTATTAATAGTCATAAAGAGACAAACATGGTATCAATTTGTTTGTAAAAATATGTGGAATATTATGAAAGAAAAAA